GCCTACAGGGAGCTTGTGAGGCAATCGGCTAACATAACCATATGGGAACAGAGACACAGGGACAAGGGTGCTTTCCAACAGCGTCTTGGTTTGAAATCCTCCCTCCCTCCCGTCTGGCAGGGCCCAAACCATAATTTGGACTCATAAACCCCACTGAGAATTAAGCTCGACTGTCACTGCCATTGGGCATTTGAAGGTCTCCCCCAGGGCTCTCCCCTCGTTTCAGCAGAAACAGCCTCTCTCCATCAGGGCCTTCCCCATGACTAAGGCCAACAAAGCACACACCGGATGGCAACTCAGCAGAGCTGTTACTTCTTTGTTGTTTCTGAAAGCAACGCTTGCCTATGCTTGGACAACGTCTTTTTCTCTAGTGACGCTGAAGCTCCACATTCAGCCCCTTCTAACTTCCCAGTATAGCAACTCAGGCAAAAAAAGCTACTGCTTTAACTTAAGTTTGAGAGAAGTGTTTTCTTGTTTGTTTCTAACTAGGATCTGTCAGCTCAGTTTCTCTATGGGAAGGAAATTTGTGTATTCCTTCTGCTCCGACACCTTCTGACGACTAGAGCTAAGAGAACAATTCACTGGGGTGTCTTGCTTAGAAATGCTGGGAGCAGGAAAAGCTTTGCAACCATAACCGAAGTGGACGACAAGAGCACGCAGACCAGGTAAGCCTGCGTAGTGCCATTGCTGAGGCACTCAGACTTCTGCAAAACAAGTTTCTCCCTATGCCGGAGCCCTGCTGCTGCGCAGAGATGCTTTCAGGAGTGCAACTGACTGTCAGATTGCTGTTTGAAAGGAATGAGTAGGAGGAAAAGCAAAACACATGGTCCCAGCTGGGGAAAGCACGTTTGCTCTTGAGACTTCTTTTCTCTACGACGCAGACTGCACAGCAGCGATGCTGCTTTAAGACAGTAGAATCGGACACGTAAGGCTAGTCACAGCAAGGATAATCCACCTCTGAGCAGACATAGAGCAACTACCGCAAATTCACGTGCAAGACTTCACAGTGAGGCTGTATTACAACCTTCAGATGGGGACCGGAATAACAGCAAAACCCACTGCGTTTACACTTCGCCTGCAAGGACCTGGACTGACGGCCAGGTTACACTTGCCTAACGGCCACACTGAGTTCACTTCCACCTGGCTACGAACCTTTGGGCACCCACCTTCACTAGCGAGATCCTGTGCAACACATGCAGCACAGCCTGAGCACCGGGTACCACTTTCCTACATCTCTAGTACCTGACACAAACCTGGGACAGGGGTTGGTCCCTTTAAAGCAGCTAGATTGCTGACCCTCTCCCCTCACCAAAATTAATAACACCTTCCATTTACGGTTTTGTTAAACAACCCCTGACATTCAAGGGATTCAACGCGTTTACAGGATTGAACAAGCTGGGGATGGATGTATGCACCAGTTTTTGCTCTGAAAAAAATCATCAGCCAGAATCTAGCTCGTAACTCTCTTGCTCTTACAAAACACAAAATATTTTCTCAGTAGTTTCTTCTTTCACAGAGAAACCAGTATGCAACCTCCAGGCCAAGTCAGATTTTTTTCCATCTATACTCCAGTTTAGACCGGAATATTAATTTTAACAAGAACAGTTTCTTCCTTTTTTAAAAGGAATTAATAGCAGATTTCCTTGGGCAGTAGCCATTTTGCTTTCCTGTAATTACACTTAAAATAACAATGAAAATTCTGCAGCAATGTATTTTATGTATGGATTTAAAAACAAGACAACCAGAATGACTAAAAACATCAGGTGATTAGGGCTTTGAGCTGTTTCTTCTTTCCTTCTGGTGTCAGATTGCTTCTTATCTACTGTAATTTTAAATACTACATATTTGCTTTACCCACTGAATTAGAATCTGGATTATTTGGCTGCTTGCTTTAGATTTCCCAAAGGTACAGCCTTCACATTGCACTCCATAACTGTCTATCTTCCAAATCCTGCTGTTTCCAATATTTACTGAAACACTTATGTTAACATAAATGCAATTAGATTTAAAAGGAGAAGAACAAGGAAATATTTCTGAGTTAGATGTTAACACCACTTACACAACAAAACCCCCCAATCTTTCATGAGTTTACACTGCCAAGGAATGATTACATCTTAGCACATAATGTCCATATGCAGAAAACAATTTATAAAGCTTTTTTTGTTTAAAGACAAAACCTGAACCCCAGTGTATCTAACATACCTGACTTCCCCAAAGGTTTAAATATTATTTGTTAACTGCTGCCACAGTGACACTCACCAGAAAACAAACCGCAGAGGACACCGACAAGACAACCTCTACCAACAGCCGCTGACTTGCTCAACAAGTGATTGCAGCCACACGATGCTTAGCTCTCGGCAGCAGACCTCTCTGGCCAGAACACACATCAAACCGAGCTTGACAATACACAGCAAAACACTTGGAGCGGTTTCCCAACACCAGCCCTTCCAGCGTCTCTTAACAGACCCACCTGTAACCACTATTCCTGCTGACAATACGCAGCAATTGATTTCTGGGAATCAGTCACCTAGACAACCTAGTTTTTAAGGAATCTCTATTAGCATCCTAAATCTCCTTTCTCAATTCAGGCCCAATTCACCGAGCAATCCCACTCGCAAGAGGTCTGTGTTCTACAGCAAACACAGACTGCCTGCCCGTGATGCATGAAGGCGCGTTTTGCTCACGCACCTGGAGCTCTGAACCACTCTTAAAGGAAACGCTGAGCACATTACTCATTGACAGAGGCAGAGGCATGGAAGGTATCTGAACAGCTAGCAAGAGTATTAAAGATTTGAAGTACTTATTCATTTTTACAAAAAATGAATTTTCCACAAAACAATCTCTCTTGGCATTAGTCAGTTTTGCCACCTCTTGTTCTAAGGGCAATGGGGCTGAATCTAGCACGCAACACCCTTTCTGAACCATGGCAAGAACAAAGCAGCACACAGGAAAAAGCCTGAGCCGGTGTATTTTGTAATTGTCCATCCCTGCATGCAGAAAAACGTTCACTGAAATATCTCTGTTCTCAGGCCACTCAAAGATGGATTTATTTTTCTAGCTGTCACATCATCACAGCACCAGGCAATTAACTGCCTATTAGCTCCTCAGCTTCAAACCCCTCATTTCACTCCAAGTGATTTCTGAACAGGGCTTCTGAATTTCTAGCTCTTTAGCCCTGAGCTTCCTCCTTACCCAACATCTCCTTGCCAGAGTTACGAATATTACTTCGTGATCACAGCAGGAAATTTATGTTCCTGTATTTTGCAGATCCAAAACTGTCAAAAAGGCTATGAATTTTTCAGAGAGAGAAACTCACAAGCTACAGTAACAGCTCAATATTATTCAAATTTCAGACCCAGGAGGTGTTACCCTACGTGCACAACTTCAACAGGAAAGCAAGTGGCAAACATCAGATGACACTGGGAGCAGCCACTGCTCCTGCTACACAGTTTTGAAGAACGTACTTTTATTTCCAAGGTGTTTCAAGAGTGACGAGCTCACTGCTCCCCACACTGGTATCTTTGAGGGAAGTGCAAGCATTTTGCTTTACTCTTCAGTCTGTGTCAAGATGCTGTAACCAAACAGAGCCACCTGCTCCAAGCAGGGTCCTTGTTTCAGCCTCAGTAAGAACAAAATTGCAATAGGTTGGTGTTAAAACCAAACCAAAAAAAACCAGAAATACCCCCCGGAGAGCTATCAGATCTAAACCCATGACAGGAATATTTTTTCTACACACTGTTTCGTAGCAAAAGAAATAAATACAAAGAGCACTGCGAATAGAAATATAACATCCCAAAAGGGAAAATTCCCTGGTTAATGACCATTTAGTGCTCTGGCCCAACAGATTTAAAAAATGAAGTGTTCTGTCATGTTGATTTCACGCCATCTTCTCAACCTAAACTGCTGCAGAGACTGTTCAGATATTTA